CTTCCTCTTACTGTGCCTTTTTTATATGTGTTTATATGTGGCTGATGCAGAAGGTGCCGGCACATTTGGGATAGTCGTCCCACATCGTGTAATGCAATCTAGACAATCTGCCAGGCTATGATCCCTACTCAGGTGATTTTTAATTTGCGGCAAGTTAACACATAAACCAACATCCCATATGCAAGGAAATTATGAATAAAGGTACATGCAGACCACAAAGATGCAAGGAAGCTTTATTCAAAAGTGAAGGGTGATGCATAGAGCATGGGGAAAGGGGTTGATCTAGGTACAGAATCCAAATGTTTAGCAACTTAACAGAACACAGGAAGAAATAAGTGGGATTTTCACTCTAAAAAGTGGCTCTCAAGGGAAAGGGAGAAAGATATTTTCAATAATTACCCATCAGAAGCAAGCTGTTCTTCTCCACTCTCATACACCGGCATGAAAATACTTAGCCATCATTTGAAACAGGTTTGCAAGAAGATGCTTGTAACAAATTATGCTTTAAGTTAGATCTCAGCACTGGCTGGATCTGTACTACATCGACTGGCTCTTTTCCTCCTGTACTGTATTTCATTTAAAATAGCAAGGGGAGGCATATCATGCCTTTTGCCTTTGCCATAATGATTGGAAATAAGTTAACTGTAGGACACTCTTACCACACTATACCTGCTATAAAGGGTTTTCTATGGATGTGAAGGTTTTAACATCTCAGGCACTAATGGGTAAACTGTTCACAGACATCATGGATCCCTGACCAGCTCTTACAGCTGACAACAACCAGATGCCAGAAAAGAGAGACTCAGCAAATCTTCATAACTTTTGTCTCGCGTCAAACCGAGACAGATGAGTCCAGAGAGCATGCCTGGAGCCTGACCACAACAGCAGGCCCTGATCAACCAGCTTGAAAGGCAGGGATGTCATTTTGCTCTCAATTGTCTTGCCCAGGAGAATTTTCTGCTTTGGAGAAAATAATACAAATAGGACATACAGACCTGTTCTAATAAGAAAGATTTTAAAAATCAATAATAATATTGTACTGACAAGAAAGAACACTACATAACAACAACAAGAAAATTCCTGGCCCACTGAGCACAGATTTGTCAGCCACTCTGGACAAATTCCTTTTCTCAGTTACTTTTTGTTGCCATGACAAAACACCAAAACCAAGGCAACTTCTAAAAGAAAACATTTAATCTAGGGTGCGCACTTGCAGAGGTTAGAGTCTGTGACCAGCATGATGGGGAGCATGGCAGCAGGTAGACAAGCATGGCAGCACAAAGTTGACAGCTCACATACTTATTCAAAAGTGCAAGACAGAGAGCGGTCAGTCTTAAGTCTACCTTGGAATCCCAAAGAAATAGGTTCTAACACAAGGAATGCATTGAAAATGCCCGTGAGGACAAGCATGCAAAAAGCAAAAGCTTCCTTCTCCATGTCCTTTTATGTGGGCTGCAACCAGCTGTGGCCAGACTTAGGGTGGGTCTTCTGACCTTGAATGATTCAAGCAAATCCTCCACAGGTGTGCCCAGCTGTTTTGGTTTTGGTTGATTCTAGATGTAGTTGAGTTGATAACCACGATCAATCATCACAGTCCTGTGTAAATACTACATGGATTATAAAATTTGTTCAAATACTTCTAAGTGTTTGCAGAATACTGAGTCTGTATCATGTACTCTGATCTACACTGGGGAGAACAGAATACAAAAAGTTCTTCCCTCAGGAAGGGTGACATGTGAATAAAAAACAAGGGCCCACGCCCAAAACCATCTGCAAAGATGAGGGCTCTCACCAACTTTTTTTTTCTTTTCTTTTCTTTTCTTTTCTTTTTTTTTTTTTTTTAAGAAAGCTTGGGCTACTCATTTCCTGTGTTGGCCATGTCAAGTTACCACAAATGATGTCTTAAAACCAAGAGTCCTGGAAGCTAGAAGTCTAGAATCAGTACGCTCTCAGGGCCAGTGTGTAGGCAGAAGTTTTTGTCCCACAAGCCACTCTCAAGTAACCACACAGAGGCTTGATATTAATTACAAATTCTCAGCCAATAGCTCAGGCTTGCTACTAGCTAACTCTTACATTTAAATTAACCCATATACCACGTGGCTTGGTACCTTTTCTCAGTATGGCATGCCCATCTTGTTTCTCTTTGTGTCTACTCACAACTCTCCACTCCTCCCTTCTTCTTCCCAGAATTCTCAATTTGGCTCGTATGCCTAACCTTAGCCTCTCCAGCTACTTGCCAGTTAGCTTCTTTATTAAAACAATCACAGTGACATATATGTCAGGCCCAAAAGGGTACCAGCTTCAGGAGACGCACCCCATAGAGTCACTCACAGGACACAAGTTCGATGCAAAAGCAAAAGGATTTTATTCCAACTCGTTGGGGTGGCTCCCTGGGAAGAGAACTACCCTGAGTTTCCAAAGCAAGCAGTTTTTATGCCTTTTTAGTCACTAGGCAGGAGTGTGACAACATATTGATTGGCTATAACATACATGAGTCATTTACTGATTGGTTGAGAACTGAACTTACAATTTTGCCCACAAGGGGTTTGGAATGTTATTTTGGGTTTTACACCTGCAAGGCCAAGTGTAAAACATGGGACAGCTAGTGGTTTTTCTGGGAACAGAGTGACTTACACTTATTTTCAAAACTTGGGTGCTCTGGAGCATGGTAACCCATAACAATTTTTAGAAACCAGACAGTTGTTGAAGATAATTACATTCCTTGGAAATTAGTAATAATAACAATTTTCAGAGACTGGTCCGCATGACCGGCCATTTCATGTGTTCTTTTTCCCAGAGCTGGCGGGGGAGGGGGGTGTTTCAAATACATGCTGGTGGGTATCAGGCTAGGTTGAGTTGGGGTCTTTCATATTCACAGAGTGTAAAGGAATATTCCACACCAGAGGAATTCTTGCCTGTCACAGCTCAGTGGCTCCTGGAAACCCTTGCTGTTCCTTGGCTGGTAGGTAAATCACTCCTCTCTCTGCCTCTCTCAGTTTGCTCAGACTACTATAACAAATGTCAGAGACTGGGTCACTTACTAACAAAGACATTTTTTGCTCACACTGCAGGAGGCTGGAGATCCAAAGTCAAGTGACTGGCAGATTCAATACCTGGTGAGAGTTGTCAGGAAGGCAGAGCAGTGAACTGAAGACTGTATTCAAGCAGCTTCCCTTACGTCTCTTAGGACCTACCTCCTTTTTCTCATCTCCAATTTTTCCTTTTGAAATGACAATGCCTCTCTTATTCCTTGCCCACTCTCTGATTTTGGAAGCACAAAACATCTTCGGTTTTCCACATTCATAGCTAGAAAGGAATTTTGACACAAATCTCACTGCTTTCTGAGGTGGGTACATGTCAGATGTTGGTGTTAAGATCTCTGGAGCTGTTGAGGTGGAATAAATGTGGATTTGGGGATGTTTAGTTACTCTTCTAGAATATCATGACCAAAATCAACTTATAGAAGAAAGGGTTTATTTGGGCTTACAGTTCCAGAGGGGGAGTCCATGCTGTCCAGGAGACATGGCAGTGGTGGAGCAAGCATGGGCCATGATCTGGAAGTTGAGGGGTATCTTCAACCAAAAGCAGGAAGCAGAGAGAGCAAGTGGAAGTAGAGAAGGCTAAAAACTCTCAATGTCCACCCCCAGTGACATACTTCCTCTAGCAAGGCTCCAAAGGCTCCACCAACTTCCCTAGCAGTGTCACCAACTGAGAACATCTCTCATTTAAACCACATGGTTTTTTTTTATTATATCTGTGTATGCATGCACACATATACATATATAAGTGCACACACCCATATGCATGCAAGTACCATGTGTGTCCCAGGGATCAATTTCTGGTCATCAGGCTGGGCAGCAGGTGAAACAACTCTCCAGCCCTAGAATAAATGTTTGGCTCTTAATAAGCATGTAAATTTCTGAGGCCCAAGGATGGAATACTAGAACCTGAATATTTGTACTCTTAAAAACTCAGGTGTTAAAACTCTAATCCATATGTGATGCTATGATTTGGTTGTAAAATATCTCCCCAGAAACTCCTATGTCCCCAGCTGAGAGTGCTATGGACAGACCCTAAGTGTGCTGTTGTCATCAAAGACCAATTGATGAGCTCATAACTCAATGGACTATTAGAAGGTAGGACCTAAGTGGAGTCAATGGTGATGTACTTTGAAGACTGAGGAGTAATGCTGTCCCTACACCTTTCCTCTGTCTCCTCTGGCTTCCCAGCTGCCATGAGGCAAGCATCTTAGTTCTGCCATCCCCTCCTTACCATGATGGTACCTTGGCACAAGCCCAGTTATGGAATCAAGTAGCCATGGACTAAAATTGTGAGCCACAAGGTATCTTCCCTTCTTGCAAATTTATTCAGGTGTTTTGTCACAGAAACAGGAACCTAACACAGATGGTGTTTGGAGGTGGGGCCTTGAGGGGAGTGACTGAGTCATGAGCAAGAGCCCCCCATGATGACATTAATGTTCTAAGAGACGGGGGAGCTTTCTTCCAGGAATAGGGCCCTTATCACGGCCCAACCACGGCTGAACCCTGATCTTGACTCCACCGTCTTGAGAACCATGAAAAATGTCTACTGTTTAAATCATCCCGGACAAACCTTTTACAGCAGTCCGAGCAATCAAAAGCTTTCTTTCACTTGATTGCTCACGTCCTCTGGGGCACAAACATTGTTCAGACTGACACAGTCTCATTTGTCAAGTTTGGGGTTTGTTACTTGTGTTTTGGTGTCAGAAATATAGTAAAGAAAGAGAAATTATTTAAACATTTGGGATTTAGATGGCAAAGAAAAATGCAGAGATAATAGATTTTTCTTATGCTCTACTGATACAGTTAAAATCATCATGACCATGTTTGTTTACTCTAAAAGGGAACAGATATAGTTCTACTACTTATTACACCAGGATGAGCTCTGCAGAGCTCCATTATGTAAAGTTGCCTTACTTGGGGGCTAAATTGGAGGGAGTCACAGACCTGGAAACAAAGCACTACAGCTTTCCTTTGTCTTTATTATCGTGCTGTTAAAGTAATAGCATTTAAGGAATAAGATCAAGGATGTGGACCGTCCTTGCTTGACTCAATGATGGTTCAACTCACAATTTAATTTTTCTGTAAGTTTTACTTTATTGTGGTGCAATAAGAATATATAACCAGTAGAAACTGTGCTCCAGACAGTGAGTTTTTTTCAGGCTAGTGATGCACAGTGCCATGCTCTCCAGCAGTGGTGAGCAGCCACAGTGAGCTCAGGCTGTCAGTCAGCACCACCACCAGGATAGTGTAGCAAAGTTAGGCTGTTCTACAAGTTACATGGACTTAAGGCATTTTTTTTTGTTTTGGACTCACAATGTTTTGACCTTACAATGCACATCTGGATGACACACCATTGTAAAACAAGAATCATCTACTACAATAGCAAGCACACAAATTTCTCCCATGATTACAATTCTAACACTCCTTACCCAGGGGATCTTGGCCATCATTGTAACACTATATGGAGTGAATATAAATCCTGAGAACTTAGCAATAGCATGATAATCATACAAACCTAAGTCACGGGAAAGATTTCTAGTCCTAATAATTTGTAGTTATGGGGAAAGTGAGATTTCTTCAAAGTTTAGTGAGGTTTTTTGCTGGTTTTGTTTTGTTTTGACAGTTTGATCTAGGTATTATTTTTGTATTCGATGCCAGTCCCATTTCTTGTCAGCTGGATAACTTTGGATAAATATTTTTAAGTTCCCTAAAATCATATTTTCTCCTTCTATAACATGAAGGCAATGATACACACCATGAAAACTGGATAAGGTGAAAAGCAAGCACAGTCACTTCTCAGGGGAAAAGCAACCATACTGTGGCTGAGACCTCAGGTGACCTGTAGTGGCATCTTGCCTTGCCAGTGAACTTGTAGCAGTGGCCACACCCTTTGGGCATGGCTTCAGGTTCACATGTAACCCACTGATAAAGTAAAGGAGGGGCTGGCTCACGATCGCTTGGATAGCATAGAGCATCAGAAGAATAGAGACTGCATCTTCTGGATCAGAAAGACCACTGCTGTTATTTACTCTTATCTGTGTAAGTCCAAGATTTATCATTTATCTTGGGTCTGGCGAGCTCATTTAAGCCCCCGCCTTTAGTGACCTTTTGCTTTGCACACTTTATGAGCTCTGTCTTGAATAGGAACGTGTCGGAAGAAGGTCCTATAATGTCGATATGTGTGTTGTGAAGATTAATCAAAACTCTAAGATATCTGTAACATAGTTGTTCACATGCCTGCTTAATATTTCTTTTCTCTCTATCTCCCCTTCCTTCTAACACCAGTGTCTCTTTTCTGAGCTCAAGGTGGAGCCCCTGGACCCACTCCTCAATGATCTCTTTCACATGTCTGACACTGTTAGAGCAAGACCCGTTGTGGGCATTTTGTAGACAAATAGTGGTGACATCACCATCCACCCTCTCCTGACACAGGATATGGTATTTGTTCAGTGTCAGTTCATAAAAGTCACACTTGTGTTTCAGGTAAAAGAAAGTATCTGTATCAAGCACAAGTGTCCCTTCACTTCTGGCAGCCTCAGGTACAGAGGTCCCAAGTGCCACTGTAGAGTTGTCACTTCTCTGTAGGACACTTCCAGGGTTCTGTCTATTCTGATTTCTCCTGTCACTGGCATACTTCCTGTGATTTTCTAAAGGGGAGATGGCTTTTGATATCAAAGCCTGTTTAAGCTTCATGATAGCCGGAAATGAACCTTGCACAGAGATTTTCCCACTGGGTCCCAATGAGCTGAAGTTTAAAGTTGGGATTTTCTTTTTCAGATCCATTACCAGGCTTTCTAGCACAATTTGAGTCCGAAAAACAGACAGATCCAGAATAGCCATCACATGGTTGAAGACCTAAGATGAGAAAGAGAAAGGTCAAAACAGCATGGCCTAGTGGAGCCAACACCGGAACACACTGCTTCCTGTCATTCTTCCCATCTGGACAGCACTTGCTCTGAGTCAGGCCCAGCTGGCCAAGCTGAGCCTTCCCAGCTTCTTGCTCTAAATCACCCTTTCAGAGAGCCTACACTGCACATTATGGATTCACAGTCCAAACCACACACCCCAAAAATGGAGGGTAAAAAATAATCTGAGACAAAATGCTGTTTTGAAACACGGTGCTTTTCAGAACTCACCAATATATATAAACCATTGGGGTGTGCTCCACAGACGGGCATCCCTCTGCCTGCCCTACCTCTTTCTCCCAGAGAGACAGATACAGATGGCTATACCATAAACCCAGGGTCTCTAAAGAATATATGTGGGGACTAATGGTTTGGATTTTAACTTTCATTCTTGTGAAATGAATGTTTTCATTTCACCTTTCCTGCTCCTTCAAAGTTCCTTTTTAATATTCATCATAAGTATCCCCCAGTATAAAACCTTTAACCCAGGGCTGGAAAGATGGCTCAGAGGTTAAGAGCACTGACTGCTCTTCTGGAGGTCCTGAGTTCAATTCCCAGCAACCACATGATGGCTCACAACCATTCATAATGAGATCTGGTGCCCTCTTCTGGTATGCAGGCATGCATCAGGCAGAACACACACACTGAAATTTAAAAACAACTTGTCTAGCAGCAGCTTTTGCCTTTGAGAACTTAGAACTTTCTACTTTCATTCCTAAGAAGTCATAAGGCAAGAGTGCTTTGTGTGTCTTTATATATACCAAAGACCTCCCAGAAGTAATGGGGCCCAGGCCTTAAAAAACTCCCCAGGGCCCACACTCACCTTTTCACTGAAGCCGGAGACTGTGAGCCGAGGCTTTGAGGCCAGAGGATATTTCCTTTGTCTGATGATATTCTGTGCAACTATGGAAAGATTAACATCAAAAGTATTTGTGGCCTGACACACCAATAATTAACCTTAATTTATAAAAAAAAAAGAGGAAATGTTCCATTGTTTAGAAATTGAGTTTTTTGCTACATTTTTCTTGTAAACCTAACATTCAAAAAACTTTTCCCTTGTGTTTTTTTCCCCTTGTGCTTTAACACACTAAAGTTCACCATAAAAGTGTTAAGAGGTTCCTAATCCTATTTTTAAGGATTAAGATATAAGTACATACATGAGTAAAAAATAATAACCTGAGTCAATCCTCCAAGCCATCCACTCGAGTCAAAGATTGCCTTCATTACCTGGAGCTCCACAATGCCAAAGTTTTTCTCCTAACTCACTGCTAATCATCTATCTCCCCCTTCTCTGGCAAACCCAGACCTCAGCCTCTTTGCTGACTATAACCACCCCATGAGTAATTCCAACTTCTATGGCTTTAGACATCTCTATGTGTATCATGTTCAAACTTCTGCCCCTACTTCATCATCCTAACAGGTATCATATCAAGGAAAGCTCAAGTCTTGTTTGGTGTTTCCTGAACATACTAGAACACTGTCCTCCACATCTCCAAAAACGACATTCTGAACACTCACCTGCTCTGCTATTCCCCACACTGCACCGTTGTTTCGGAACAGGCAGCTCCAATCCCCAGTCCTCTACTCACAATACAATGGCTCCCACCTAACCAGAATACAGTCCAGAACCCTCGCCAGGACCTTGGGCTACTCAACACACATGGTCCCAGCTCCCGCTCCACCACCTGACACACATTCCACTCCGACCACAAAGGGCTCTTTCCTACTTCTCCAAACATGCAACATGCTTCCCTTCCCTTCCCTCCTTGCCACACTCCCCACCCCAACCCAACCAGAATGTTTACCACTCCTTCATTTATCCTAGAATGTTCTTCTGTCATCCACATGAATTCCTCCCCACCCCTTACCCCCCACTCCCACCTCTTGCTTCATTCTGGTCTCTGCTCAATTGTTATGTAAACAGAGTGTTTCAGATCTGGAAAAGTAGCTGTTGGTACAAAACATACCTTGTTTACATGGATGAAACCTTGGATACTATTCCCAACATGCCTAGTGTACATGACACTTTGGATGTGATCCCCAACACACACACACACACACACACACACACACACACACACACACACACACACACAGTGTTTGCCAACCAGAGCTGGCGGTGCAAGCTTGTAATCCAATCCCAACTGTTAGGGAACTGAAGCCAATGGATCTCAGTTCAAGGTCAGCCTGAAGAGCCTGGGTAGCTTGTAATCCAATCCCAACTGTTAGGGAACTGAAGCCAATGGATCTCAATTTGAGGTTAGCCTGAAGAGCCTGGGCCCAAAGAGAAATAAAAAAGGGGCTGGAGAGATAGTGCAGCAGGAACAAGTGCTTACTTCTCCTCTAGAGGACTTGAGTTTGGTTCTCAGCACCCACATCCAATGCTTCACAAGCTCCTGCTGTAACTCCAGCTCCAGGGAATCCAACCCCCTCTTCTGGCCTCCACAAGCTCCTGTACACACATATGACATTCATATACACACATACATACATGCACACAAACCATAAAATAAAAATATAAATATTTTTTAATAAATTAAGAACAAAAGACATTTTACTCCGCAGTCTACCTAAACCAGTACCACCTACCACTTTATTTATTATTATGTATACTTTTTCATAGCATGTATATGGTAGTATGTAACTAAATATAAGCAACTATATAAATATAAATGAAGCACAAACCTATCATATATCCGTTGGCCTAATAAATGTCCATCCCTATTGATGCACACTTCATGAAAAAAAAAAAAAAAAAAAAAAAAAACACTCCTATTCCACTCATGATTATGTTCTCAACACCTAGAGTAGGGTCTGGTAATAGTCGCATATAAAATATCAATTTACACATCCACTACTATCCCTTTAAAGATATGAAGAACCCTTGCCCTAATCCCATCCTTGAGCATGGCTATTGAGAGAGAATGACTTAGCTCTTGGAAACAGCCAAAGGTTAGTGCCAGTCCAGTATCTAGGATTTCTAGACACTTCCCCCTCCAACAGAGCAAGAGCCCTCTCTTTGCTAACACGCCTGCATGGAACTTTCACCCCTGAGGGGTTAGCCTGGAGAATGTCCTCTGGCAGTCTATTCTACTAGGGTCTAAGCCTAAAGAGAACTGTCCCTCCTCCAGGCTGACTGCTGCTTCAAGATGAAGTGAGAAGCAGAATGGCTTAATCTTCTTGCAGGTCCAGGCCATAGATCTCAGTTCAGCTTTACCAGGAACAATGCAGATTCTTTATTAGAATGTCTGCTTGAGAGTTTGAAGGATGAGAAGCAGAAAGTGTAATTATATTGTTGTCGACACCTCAAATTTACCAAAGAGATTATATGTAGCCAGTGATGATGGCGCACACCTTCGATCCCAGCACTTGGGAGGCAGAGGCAGGCAGATCTCTGTGAGTCCAAGGCTACACAGAGAAAGCCTGTCTCGAGAAACCAAGAAAAAAGGGAGGGGAGGGGAGATTATATATAATTTAAGTTTACTTGGCCCATGTTCTTTATTTGTCTCCCATATACATATACAGCAGCTAAATACTTTTTAAAGCTTCACAATTTCCCAGTAACTCATACTTTATCATGAGTCATTTTTGTATATTTTTGCAAATATAAGACTGGCCACTTTTCAGAGTAGAATAATTGTTTAATGCTATTTCAACTATTTCAAAGTTTGCCAATCATTTTAACAATATGGATTTTTTGGGGGGGTTGGTTTTATTGAGACAGGGTTTCTCTGTAGCATTGGAGGCTGTCGTGGAACTCACTCCGTAGACCAGGCTAGAACTCATAGACATCTGCCTGCCTCTGCCTCCTGATTGCTGGGATTAAAGGTATATGCCACCACTGATAGGCAACAATATGGAATTTTAATTTCACTGGGAAAGTATATCTAAGATTATAAAATTTTGGCTAAGAAATACCTTTCTTTTCTTTGAATATGATATATGCAACTCCTTTGGTTCTTGATGGATATATCACCTCTTCCACGTGTTCACCCTCATTTTGGAAGTAACGCCTCATTAGCTGGTCTTTTAAAAGGCCAACTGGAAGACCAGAGACTACAATCGTTCTCTCAGAAACTGTGGGGTCTCTGATCTTCAACGCTGATGCCTGAAGAAAAACAATTAGATATTGTTTAAATGTGAGTCTGCTGAAAGGTACCATCACATCAGTGAGACATAATGCCCCCTTCCACAAAAGTGACTAACAGGAGCATGTCTGCCTAGCTCCATCTACCAATACAGACCTTAGTTAAATTTGAGAGTTATGTGTACTACCAGTAAGTAGAAAATATTAGTAAATGTTTGATATAAGGAAGGCCCAAAATACAGAAAATGTCACCAAAAAGGGGGGGGAGGTTGAGATGGGCTCTTACTATGTAGCTTTAATGTAATGAGTCTTTTTCTGTCCCTCCAACCAGCTCTCATATAATGGCACAGAGACTTCTTATTATGAAAGCTTAGCCTATGGCTTAGGCTTGTCCCACTAGCTCTTATAACTTAACCTACTTTTATTAATCTACATTTGACCATGTGGCTTTTTACCTTTCTTTCATTCTGTATGTCTAACTTCCTCCATGTCTCATTGGTGTCTCCTCTGAACCTTGATTACCTCCTCCTACTTCCTCTCTGCCTGGAAGTCCCACCTATACCTCCTGCCTAGGTATTGGCCATTCAGTTTTTTATTACATCAATCATAGCAATACACTTTCATACAGTGTACAAATACCTCACAACTTAGCTGGATTTGAACTTGCTATTTAGACATGGCTGACTTCAATCTCAGAGATCCTCCTGCCTCTGTCTCCCAAGTGCTGGAATTGGCAACCACACCCAAGGAGATGTACCAATTTTTTTTAATGCTTAAAATATAGCTGTGGATACAGCTCAACAATAGAGCGCTTGAGTTGTGTGTACAAAGTCCTGGGTTTATTAAAATAACTACAAAATGTCAAAGTTTCAAAGAGGCTATCTATTTTCTAGATTATACAGTTCAAAGTGAGTAAGTCAATATGAAAGGCATCCCTCCTGTTATCAGGATCAGGAGAAAGTCTTGCAATAATGGAGTGGCTGCACAGACTACACTCCACTTCCCACCATCTAAGGTGATACAGTGACACTGAGGACATGCTCCTGCAGATTCTGCTGCCATATGGAGGAATCAGCAAAAAAAAAAAAAAATCCTTCATTTATCCTCAAATCCTCTTGAATCCACTTCTGCTTCACACCTTCATTCATCTCCCACCCCGAGTTAGGAGAGTGAGTCTATCAGCCTCTCCCATGATGTGCCCAGTTAGTCCAGTCTATAACTGCAGCGAAATTCAGACCTAATCTGTCTTAATCAACTGAGGGAGGACGAGGTCTCCTGGGCTAGACCCATGATTAACAAACCACAAAGGAGCTTTGAGCTCTCAATGCAAGGACTGTACTTGAAAAAGACTCCTCCAGGGGAGGAGCCTACTGCTGGCCTCCCAGAGGGGAGCAAAAGAAGAGTCTGTGCACAGTGTTTGCCTTAAAAATGAAAGGAAAAAAAAAATCAGTCCATTGTTGCAGGAGCTGTCATCCAATTTCAGGGAGACAAAAATACACCAAGGTGTATGTAAGAAAGAGTCAGAAGAAATATGTCTAGAATAAGGAAGGAGGGGTGTGAGGTAAAGGTGAAAGTCTTCTTGGCAGGACCCTCGAGTATGCAAAAAAGAACAAACACAACAGGCCATGGATGGCTACTGCTAAAGCAATTGCTCCAGCTTGTTCCCCATACTGTCGACCCCCAAGCTTAAGATCACAAAACCATAGTGGCAGACACTCATTCCGAACCACAGAAAAACACTGAGGGCTGTTCTTTTTAAGAAAAAGAAATTAAATTAACTCTCGAGAGACTATAGTTAGCCTGGGCACACATGAGCACCACCTCCTCTTTTCTGGCACTTAAGGGCCCCCAGCCCAAGGACCATGAGCAAACAATCTTAAGTAAAAGGGAGAAATGGAAACGGTAAAAGAAATGTTGAACATAACTAGAAACATTTCCCTTTATGTGGAAAAGGAAAATTACACATGACATGAGACCAAAAGAAATTTTAACAACTAGACCCTGCTGACATAGTATTTGCTCTTTACAATGCACTACCATTGGGTTTTAACTTTTGGACTAAACGTGCTAAGTCTTCAAAATACCAAAAATTTTTAAATGGCTACAGAAAAAAAGAAAGAAAGGAAGGAAGGAAGGAAGGAAGGAAGGAAGGAAGGAAG